AGATCAACAGGCAACCGATTCACCCCTGCGAGGATCGAGCTTCGTGCCAATAACACGAGGGAGGGGGCGAGGGAGGAGGGGATGGAATTCTCGTAAAATTTGGAAAATCCGAAATCTGGACTGAAAAGCGGAATCGTTGGACACCTCGTAAAAGAGGCTGAAGCAAAGTGTCCTCGTAGATCGCAATAACGGAGCTTGTTTTTTCGTTTTGTCGCGCGTGGAAAGGGATTACGATCGGGTCCGTTAGGAAGATGGAGAAAAAGCTGGTTGCACGGGCAAAGTGGGTTAATAAAGCGATATTAAAGCGACGGGTGGGAGGGTGTACCGTGGCAAAGGATCCCCAATGTCCACTCTAGCGCGGACTCGGAGCTGCGGAATTACGCAGTCAGCCCGACACCCTACGATCCGCCATAGCGTTTCATTATCTCCTGGCTATTTCGGCCACCTACATACGCGCGTCCTCCCTCTCGACCGATCCTCTGTCTGCGCAGACGGTCAAATACCGTGGCTGTCGGGTAAACTTTACAAACACGAACGCTTGCCACGTTATTATCCCGTAATCCCGGTGTTTTACATATTATGAGAATGCGTCGGATGGCCTGTTACCCGCGACCTTCAATCTTACGTTATTACGCGGTTGCCGCCGGTCCACATATGTCTGCTGGCCACCAGCGGAGCCTGCGCATGATTTTACATAAATTTCACGAGTTGGAACACCTTGCGTTTGCACACTAGACAACGAACGGCTCACCCCTCTCGCCGTCTACGCCAGAGTAAATTCGCGTTTATTCGCGAATCGCTGGTCTCGTTGTCGTTCCAATCCCAAATTATTCGGGGAAAGAATCGAAGAACAACTCGGAGAACACGGAGGAAAGACAATGGACGGAGAGGAGAGGAGAGGAGAGGAGAGGAGAGGAGAGGAGAGGAGAGAAAGAAATCTCGGCACGCGGTCTGGCGTGAGATTTCCACGTGTGTTTTGACAACTACCCCGCCCACGCGTGTTCTCACGCAGCGACTCGTGCACGCACGGCAACTCGCTATTAAGTGCATTAGCACGCTTTTAATGCCGGCTAGATCGCATTTATGGGGTTCTGCGCACGGTCACGGGGGTCTGCGCTCGCGTGCTCAGTGGGTGTGTCTGGTTTCATTCTTCACGCACATCGGACACGTGGCCGCGGCACGAGGTCCGTAGACGTCGAACGGCTGTCTTCCTTTCCGCCTCTTTTTCATCCCTTGATTGGCAGCTTAAAGCCGGACCACGGGCACGATCGCGACGCGTCGCGGAGAAAACGAACGCAGAATACCCGTCCGTGTCGAAATCCCTGTCGCCTCGTGTGTCCACTACGACGCGTGTCCGCCACTTTGCAGGGTGAATTCGCGCCGCGATGAACCCTTCTCCATCCAGGCGACGCTCCGCACACGCAGAGAGAAGCTCCTGCACCGCGTACCCCTTCTCGCGCCCAAGTCGATAAAACCGCACGGAATTCCCGCGATTATTCCCGTTTCGTTTTCACTGTTTTCCTGTCTCGCATCATGGTCAATTAATAGGAGTCATTTATAAGGGCAGAGCGGAGAATCTGGGAATCCGCAATCCACCGGGGAGCAATAAATCTCAAGTCGCCGAGCGGGATGGAAACGGAACCCCTCTTGTAAGCTGGTTGTATTGTAGCTATTACCGAGCCATGCATCACTAGGTAACAACCACACGGTTCGCTATCTCCGTCTCTTTCCTCCTTCCTTTAACTACTTATCCGTCTGTCCTTCCCCTCTACCCTCCTTTTCGCCCGTTTCGCTTCCCGAACGAGAGCAAAGAACGCGGCGCAGAAAAACGGCACGTCTGGGAAGCTTCGCAGCTGATATCGTGCATGGACCACCCAGATGTGCCTCGTCTACCTTTCGTGGAACCGAACGTTGGGGTGTTTTGACATTAAGAAAAATATTAAGCTGCCCGCAAACGACGTTGCGTGAGGGATGAACCTCGTCGTTGATGAACCTACGATCATCACGAGGTCCAACGACCTACGCGATTTTTCGAAAATTCTACGACGCGTCGCGTGACACCGTGATACTGGTCTGGTCGCGATCATTTTCGAAACAAGGCAGATTTAATAGCACGAGCGTGCTGGAAAATTCCGATATCGCGAGTCCGGATAACAAGGGCAACGACTGACAGAGGGAAGACCGAAGGAGAAAAATCTGGACGCAAGACAGAAGGACGAGTGTGGAGAGGAGACGAGAGGAAGAAAGGAAAGACCGGAAGGGAATTCACGTCCACAGACGTAGTCTCTCTCTCGCTCTCGTCGGACGAGCATCGGTAGGAAGAGCGAAATACGGGCTGGCTGGCTGCGCGGGGTGGTTGTCGAGGGGTGGTTGGCGCGGGATGGTTGACGAGGGTGGTACCTGCCTTCTCCTCGCGCCCTCACCGGGCGCTATAGTAACAATACGGGGAAACATAGGGAAATCAATATGGCTTCCGTTGCCCTCTTCCCTCTCGTCTCTCCCTGTCTTCCATCCTCTCGCTCACCCCGGTTTGCTCAGTCTTTGACTCTCTCTACTCTGCCTCCGCTACTCTCGCTTCCTCGTCCAGTTTCTCTCCTTCTGACACCCTTCCACTCTCTTTCCGTCTCTTTCTCGATCGCTCTCCCGCGCTCAGCGCGGACGGGTGAACCCATTATGAGGGAGTGTTACTCCGGGCCAATCCCCAACCATCCGGAGAGAGAAACTGGAGAGACGAGGGTCCAAGAAGGGCGCATGTGCGTTGCTAGGGCCACAGGATGGGTCGCGTGGTTCTGCGCGCGAATACGGACACCCGGTATACGTGGTCAAGCCGCTTTGCAAGAAAACACGCCATAATGTACGAACGAAAAATTGCCCGGCGTTACAAAAATCGTCAAACGAGTCTCGCTATTTACGCTTACGTTCACGAGTCCATGGGGTTTCCGAGAAACCGCGTATTCGAACAATCTACGACTCTGATACAGTATTTTCCGAGTAATCGTTGCAAGTTTACGACCAAGAGTATTCGTATCTGAATTATCATGTGGTCATGGAACGCGAAATACGTCGATAGCGAGCATTCTTTAGGAAAATCAACCACGATCTCGTAACATGGCAGAGAAAGTTCATCTATGGGCAAAAGTTACAAGTGCCCTAGCATCCTAGCGCTCTAGCGGCGAATTTAAGAAACAGGCGTAACGCGTGAGAAGTCGGTAAAACAGGAATATCCAACTCGACGCTGTGAACAGTTTGGTAAAGTACCTGCCGAGATCGATAGAAGAAAAGATTGCAATAACAAAGTCAAAAAATGTGGTCATGTGTAATGATGGAAAGCGCTACTACAGTGAAGACTTTTGCTGCCGATTGATGAACAACCACATTCTGATGTTTGGGAAAGACAGATATAGAAATCTGTAAGGAAAGGAGGAGAAGTTTCCTGGGAAACAAATAGAAGAAGATTTGACAAAGATGGTTTTTTTTTCTCTGCGTTGCTAGAGAGAAGGGGGGGGGAGGAGGAGTAGTCGTGGTTTTTTTTTTTCTTTGTCATCTCTCTCCTCTCGAACTTTCTTCTTTCTTTCTTATTAGGAGATGGTGACAAGATGGAATTCAATCAGAGTGGGGAAAGGTTTCCTGGGAAACAATTGACAAAGATGATACACAAGCATTTTTGCCTCTGTGTTGTGCTGCTCCTTTTTTTAATTGCATGTTTTCTTCTCTCACACTCTTCTTTGTGATTAAGGGGGAGAGTCGGGAAAAACACACTAGGAGAGCTTCTATCTTTCAGCAGAAAATCAGCAGATATACCTGAGTAGCATCGGACCACAGACGTAAGTATCGTGAACGAGTCTTATATAGTGATAGAGAAAGCGCAGGAACACCAGCGAGAAACTCGTGTGTACGAAAATTTGTATAATAAACTGATAGTTGTTACGCTATACCGATAGCTTGAATATTTTCTCGACGAATAGTATACGATATCTAGCGTCAACAACACGAATATACTTCATTTATCATCGACAAATTTAAAATAAAATAAAATCGCATACTGGCACTTCATGTCAGTAGCCCTCTAGTGGCAAAGAAGCTAAGATTAAAGAGTCGGTAAACAAGAAACTCTTCGTTATCGACACACGAGTTGGATGGATCCAAAGTTAACGAGCAAAATTATAAAATTATAAATGAACTGCAACAAATTAAAATACCTGTTATCAATCTCAAAGTACAATAGCTACTTTCGATGAAACTTGTTGATAAAAAAATATTGGATTCGCTTCTAACATTAATGTACAGCTGTCGGTAAAGAAACATGCCTCATTATCATCCCGGATAACAAGCACCGAACTGAACCAGCGTCGGTAAGAACAGAAACTGCAAACTATTACCGACGCAGGATCAGCATTCTTGCCGGTAAAAAGCAATCGCATTTTTACCTTTCCAACCTTCAACATAAAGGTATGTTTCCAAGTTGAAACATAAACTTCTCATTACAAAAAATATAAAAAAATATCTCCTGCAAGAACGAACAAAACGAATATTCGAAACCTATATAGAGCATCGACACGAAAGAAAAGTACACAATAAAACCGTTTATAAATTAAACTTATAATTTAAGCGTTAATATCGACGTTCATTAAACTTGGTTAATAACCGAAAAACGCAGGATACTCGCGCCATGCCGTTATTTGTAATTAGGCATACGTTGCTAATTCCAATCTAATATCGGGAAGGTCGTGTTTACTTTCACACGCATTTACGATCGAACACATATACAAACGTGTATCTGTTATGAAGAATGCTCACATTGAACGAAGAATAGAACGCTGTACAAGGAGATAAGCCTACCAAACTTTCAGTTAGTTGTCGAATAACGTCGTAACGGTCATCGGCGATCGGTCGATTATTAGAAATTCGAGCCGAGCCAACGGAGAAATTGCCGCAATAGCAATCGAAACGAGAGTTCCGAGTGACAGGAAAGAAACATATCGTGGAAGAAAAGGCGAGGAATGGCGTTAACGATTGCTCTGCCCCTGTCCGGTCTGGAGCCTGAGCATTTCGGTTCGTTGGGTGCGAGACTTTTATACGAACAAGGTATGAGAACTTTGTCTGGTTGCGGACCAATCTCGCCAAGCACTGCAAGTGAATCGAGTGGAGTCAGTAGTTTAGTGCCTTCCATCGAATCATCTACACCGGAACAAACGCCGGCTTCTTCCAGGCCAGGTACACCCGTCACGGAAATGACGAAGAAGCAAGAGGAGGTACGTAGCTAAGAAAGAAATAGGCTCGAGAAAGGATAACTCGGAATTTCCTTTTCAGCAACCGCTCCGAGTGTATTACAGGCAGAGAGACATATTAAATTTGGGAGCAAACATCAGAGAACCATTCTGGCAAATGAGAATCCCAATGATGCCTCGGTACGACTTTCGGAGTTTCATGGAAAATAGATCGGTGTACTATCGCTTAGGTGAATATGGATTAACGGAAGATTATCCAATGGTAGGTTTATCGATTGTATCTACTCGTTCGTCCATTCGGCCGCGGAAAAAAAGACGAAATTTCGCAATGATATCGCGTTTAATACCAATAACAATTTAATCGACGTATCAGAAACGTAGACCAATCGTGGAATTACGTTACATGGATGGCCTTCGTTTCGCAATTATCACCGAAATCCGATATATCGTTGTTCCTTTTCCGCGTTCCGATTGTCAGTGCGGACGTAAACGTTGCACGAAATTTCGATTTCGATGCAGGAAATTATTCCAAGTAATTTCAAGATACTATCAATAATCCCTCGCTATGATTAAACGCAATGCTTTGTGTATTCCGCTGCCATCTTCGAGAAACGCTTCAAAGGGATTGTCTCCTTTCTCTCTTACTATCTGCTACAATCTGTTAGATATTTTTTTCTCCTCCAACTTTCTTTCTCTCCGTCTGTGTCCCTACGTTCCGTGCAAGAGTTTCGAATTTCTCTGGATTCGTTCTCGCGTTCGTCATAGCTTGCAACTGATAGAACATGGGTAAAGAGACGATTAAACCGACTGCCCAATACTTAAACTGCCAAGATCTTCGCCAATGGTGACTGTAAGGGAAATGGAGGATCTTTGTGCCGACGAGGATGACTTTGCTCAGCAATGGCGAAGGGGGAAAATGGTCCGGCAACGACACTGCCCTGATATCCCTCATACCCTAAAAATCAGCGAGTATTCTTTGAAAATTCCTATTCGCGTGTGCGCAAATTCGAATGTAGTGCTATCTGAACGTACTTTGGAAAATTTGCTTCTGAGGTCCGACATGCGTACGTCTTTGATCTTGTCGTGAACTCGACGGTAACGTGCGGTTAAAAAGTTCTGCATCGCAAATTTCCTATTCGTGTGTCCGAAAGCGATAGCAGTGGATCGATCAAACGACACAGGGAAAAGAACGAAACGAATCCTTGCGAGTTTGACAGCTACGACTGGCCCCCTTCCTTCGCGTTAGGACTCGGCCATTTTGGTCGAGTGGAAAAAATTCGCGAACAAAACGAACTCGAAACGAGTCGCGTCGTAGAAGGCGAGATAGATCCTAGAAATTGAAATAAATCCTTTCTGCGATTATTTTTATTTTCAGCGAATCTGCAAAGACTGTGGCTTTTGCGAACCATCGCCGTACCTGTTTTAATCCGTGATCGACGTTGGAATCATCGACGAGAAGGACGATGTAGCGAACAGCAAACTGTGATAAACAGACAGACAAGCGGCAGCCGGCTCGAAAATGCGAGTGGACGGCTCGAAACGAGGAGAAACGTGGGGAAACGAAGGGAAACCATGAGAAACTAGGAGAAACCGGTGACAATGTAAAAGCGAGTGGACGTTTCTCGAGGAAAGCTTGAAAACGATCGCTCGTTTGGTACCGCGCGCGCGTAAATTCCACTCCGTACTAACAAATAATTAAACAAGCGCGCGTTCAAAGAGCGACACGGATTTCTATGTAAAATTTTTCATCTATTTTTCGCTGTATTTTTTCCTGTGTGCCGGTATCGCGCTGACCGGATGATCGATTGTCAGATATAATCGGGGAAAGTTTGTGAAAAAATTTGGCCAGTTTTGTTCTTTCGTGACGCACCGGTTTTCGTTCGTTTCGTTAATCGCGCAATCGTGTCAATTTTCATTTCTCGGTCGATATCGTTTCACCGTGTAGCTATCTGACAATTACATCCTCGTCGATTATTCAGTAGCCGGTTACGGGCTGCGATAGTCGCGTGTGCCTTCTATCACTTTCTTTGTTTTTAATATATTTAAACGCGAGTATGTTAAACAGGACGAGCCCTCTTGCTATGCAACTATGTGCATACGCAGTCGACGGCTCGATTGGAAAATGTTCTACTGCTAAACGGTTTTAAGAACGCTTCCGTCGAGCGTTTTACGAAAAAAAGCGATCTATATTGTGTTCTCTATTCTTTTTCATTTTTTTCTTTTTTTTTTTTTATAATTACAAAACGTACGAGAGTATATAACGCTAATACGTTGCAAGGAAAAGTTTACAGTCACGAGAATGTTGGAAAAGAAAAAGAAAAGGAAATGGAATATTCGAAAACGTGAAAATTACGCGACGATGGTCGCGCGTTCCCCTTAATTTTAAAAGCTTTATTCATCGCGAAAGAAGGAACGAATTTCCCTGTCAACGGTGATGTATTGATCAACACGTTAAGTGGGTAATTCTAGCTGTGACTTTTTCGCAGGTAGAATTATTAATAAGCATTCCATTAAGTACACCTCTTTGTGCGCAACGACATAGCAACCTATTATAATATTACGAACAATCGACCAGTGCGCTATAATTATAATTGGCTTATACATTTCACGATAAATGTAATGCGCGCTCACAGAGTATTGTAATTGTACCGAAGCCATTCCGCTAGAGTCTTTACTGACCATTGTTTATAAGCACGTGATAAACAATATTTTACAACGACGTTGCGTTCCGCTCGATTATTTAACTAATGCTCGTTAAGCATACGAATTCCATTCGTTATCCCGCAACGTTCAATGAATCTCTTCTTCTCTTGCATTCGCGCGCGCGTGCTCGTCGTAACCGAAGCCGAAATAGCCGGTGCATTTCGAAACGTTTCACGAGTCGAGTCTATCCCGCGATTTCGATCTTCCAGCAAGGGAATTCGTCCCTGAACTTCCCCTTCTAACACGATTCTATCACGGATATACGAGGTTACGACGATTTCAAACCGGAATCTCCGAGATCAGGAGAGTCGCTCTCGTGCCCGTTAACTATTTATCCGTGTCCGTAGAACGCGAGAGATCCTTTATCGTAACGCAACGGTATATACGTGTACACGGATGCACGTGCGACGGTGTAAAGAGACGTACGTGCGAGCGTGTGAAGGGATGCGCGGCGGGAGCGTGTGAGGGCCGTGCAAAGGGATGTGCGCGCACGCATGCACGCGTGCAAGCGCGAGTGCGTGCGTGGGTGCGTGGAACGCTCGCGAGAGATGTGCACGACGACTATTCAGATATTGTTGTTATTGTTGAGGGAACAATCGCCCGTCAATAGGCTGCCCCGGCACAATGTATCTATTCAGGTGCGGTCAGGGGTGCTCAATCGATCGGCGGCCCCCCTTCGTCCGCGATTCACGAAAAACCCTCGCGAAAGAACCGAAGTAAGCCGCTTCTCCTAGGAGAATTTTTGGCGAGAAAATTCGCGATGCGTTCGAGTTTTCGTCGTCCGATGGATTCTTCGCTGGTGAAGGGATACCGCGACCGCCAGGGGTACCGATTCACCACCCCCGTTTCGTTGCACCCTGCGCGCGTAACCTCACCGGGACGAACGCGTTCGCGAAATGGAAAGGAGAATCGTTTGATCTGGGCGATTTTTCTCGATGCACATCGAGAGGTCGTCTTGCAGACGATACTGGTTCGCACCGCGAGGAGGAAATGGTAGCGACGATTGGATAAACGACGAAACGATCACGGAATATTAAGCGGCAATTGCCACGCGTAATTATCAGTTTCAGATTTAAATAGCCAGGTCGGTTTGGCATTAACTGCCATTGATTAGATAGATCGTAGCGAAGCGCTAGAAACACGGCTGATTGCGGGCATAAATCGGCTATCGCTTACGATTATTATTATCCAGGCTGGTGATGGTATTTAAACCGATAAACGGCTGGCGGAATGGCGATGGCGCGTCGTCATTGTTAGATTAGCGTAGCGTTAGAGGAGAGCATTGAAAAGCCCCGGATGGACGGGAACGGGACGAAACGGAGAGCTTGAACCGGGAGGGAAAAAGAGGGCGCGCGTGAGAGCCACTGCTTCGCGAGTGTACCAGCCTTCCCTGCCCATAGCGATGATTACGTATGCGGGAATCATTGTCGAGTAACGCGCGATGCACATGCAAAGGCCAAAAATCGTCGAAATCAGTCGAGTTCAACATCAGCATTGTACCTGGCCTTTGTCTCTGCCTCATTGTTGTCGGTACTCGGTGTACAACGTACACGTACGTACAGACCGAACCGGAGAGAGCACGCTGGGATAGTTCGTTCGCTGGTCCACGGGAACCACACACCTACAGGACCTTCGCTATTTGCTATTTATGCTAGCGAGATCCCGAAAATCGGAGCATTGTTGCCGGTCCGCTCCGGCATTGACTAGAAAATCGATTCGAACCGGCGGACGCGCCTGGGAAACTCGCTTTCACCCTTCCGAAATATCTGTCCACTCCGCGTGAATATTGCAATTTGGATAAATATTCGACTCGACTCGCGTTGTTCTCCGCATCCTAGCCGCGTGGGTTACCTCGAGGACGCTAGCTACTTTTCGGATCCGCGCTAATCGATCGAATCGCGCCGGATCTGCGCCTCTAGCCTCGTGACAACCGCGTCGAAATCGCTTCGCGTCGCGTTTCACGCGGACCGTATATATGGGTAACCAGGCCATTGGAACGCGTTAGTTGGGCTGATGATCCGCGCCAGACGCCAACTCTTTCCGCCGATTACAAAACACGTATGGGCCCAGTGCTCGGCATCCCAACGCCCGAGTCTAAGACGACCTAAATCCAGAGAACATAAACCGAATCGTCCAGCAATCGATTGCACGCCGCGCCTTTTCGCTCGCCGTGGCATCTCCAGAGGATCCGCGTGGAAAGACAGAGGGTGGTGCCGATCGCATCGCGAACGACGAAAATTTACGAAAATTCCTCCACTCGTACGAGCCAATCTCCGCGGAACAAGGCGGTCGTAAACCTTGCGCGGCTGGACGAGGTAATATCTCGACTGATCCACGAAATAGATCAAAATTACGTTTCCTCCTTTTTGGATAAACGACGAGCTACCCCCGAGTACCAATTTTCCTTCCGAATTTCGAGGAAATTTCGTATTAACGGCGCTCGTCGGGACACGAGTGACGAAAGGTCCGAGCAACGTCGCGAGTAACCACCGGCTGAGACTTCTCGGTTGCGGAGTTTAGAAGCGGGAACGGACGTGCCGGTGATTTTTCGCGGGTACAAAGGTACAGAGGGCCGATAGGATAAGATTTCCGCGGCGATATCGGAACGAACGAGTAGAGGAGGGGAAGATAGCGGATGAAGGGGTGAGGAAGAGCAGGAACAGCAGAAGCAGTGGGGGTGCAGAAGGAGGCAAAGTGGGGATAGGAGGAGAAGAGGGCATAGAGCAGCTGAATAGGAAGCGACACAATGGACCTGGGTGGCTGTGGAGGCGTGTTATCAAATGGGTTCCTCATTCACATACTGCGGCCTGAGCTACCTGTGTCTGTCTGTACCGGTGTCTGTCTGTTATACTTATTCATACCGCCCATTGTGTCCTCCACTGTTGAGTCGAGTTCAGTTCAGTTGAGAACGCGATGGAACGTGCCACAATGCACGAATATGGGCTGCGCTGCTCTGCCCCCCCCCCGCCCGCCCCCCTCCCTCCATCAAAGCTAACTCTTTCTCTTTCTCACCCTCCCTCTTTGCCATTTGCCACCCACCCGCCATCCAGGCCGGGCTAGATTCGTTCGAGCGACTGAAAAGAAAATTGTGTTGGGAAATTGTATCCGCGAGAAACCTGGCCGATAATGTGGAATTCTTGCCTCGAACAACCCGAGCAGACTTTTCACCGACGCCGGTTCCACCCGTGCCAAAAGGATCCAGGAATTCGTTAATTCGAGGATCGTAAAGAGATTCGAGCTTTGCCGTGATCCAGCCCCCGATCCTCGCGAAAATGCTCGCCACTTTTCCCCCCCGCGGGGAATTCGCGTCCGACTACCGAGGAAACAATCGCGGAATATTATCGAGAGCGAAGAAAAGGAACAGCGCCTGGTTCCGCACCTTGACTTGCCCGCTAAAACCTTAAACCTGCCGGGTCAGAGCGACTTTTCCTTTCTCGAAAGAAATCAAGAAGCACGCGAAACGTTTTTAACAAACTTCGTGTTCTCGGAAAAGCAGGCGAACCGAGCGACCAACCGCGCAAAAGGAAAACTTTTTCGCCGCTATACGAAATTATGTTTCGCCGGCCAGTCTTTGATTAAAAAGAGTGGAAAGTTGGCGAGAGCGTTTAACAAATGGTTTTTCGCGAGTCGCAGACTCTTCGAGTAAACGATGGACCATCGATCCGGGACTCGAGTTCGCGTTCCGCCGATTTCTCATCGAACAAAGACCGGAGAAGAAAGAGA